TTGTCAAAGCGGTGATCTGAACCACCGCGCAGATTTTCCTCCTCAGCCACTTCTTGCAGTTCCTTCTTCCATCTTACCTTCACCTTCGCCGTTAGCGGCTGTCCCCTTCTCCGTTAATTCCGGTCTCTTCTCCGTTAGTTTCGGTTTCCCTCTCCGTTAGTCTCCGTCCCTTTCTCCGTTAGTCTCCGTCCCTTTCTCCGTTAGCCCCCGTCGCCGTTAGCTTTCCTTCCCTTCTCCCTCCGTTTCGATGTCCTTCCCCGTCATTTTCCGTACCCCTCTCCGTCCGCCTGCGCCGTTAGTTTCCGTACCTTCTCCGTTAATCTGCGTACCTTTCTCCGTCAGTCTCCGTCCCCCCCTTTGTCCGTTCTGTCTCCCCCCCTTGTCCGTTAGTCTCCGTGAGTTTCGATCTCCTCCTCCGTTACTCTCTGTGCTTTTCTCCGTTAGTTTTCCTCCCTTTCTCCATCAAATTGGATCTCCTTTTTTTTTTCTTTTTGTCTTTGATTTCCTCCTCAGTTAGTCTCCGTACTTTTGTCCTTGAGTTCTCCTCCCCTTCTCCGTTAGTTTCGGTCTCCTTCTTCGTTAGTCTCCGTACTTTTCTCCGTTAGTTTTCCTCCCCTTCTCTGTTAGTCTTGGTCTCCTTCTCCGTTAGTCTCCGTGCCCTTTAAGTTATCCGTTTGTTTTCCATCTCCTCCTTCGCCTCTCTCCCTTCTTCTACTCGTCTTTTCTGTGAGATTTCCACCTACTCCGTTAGCTTGCCTTTTTTTCCCACTTCATCTCCACTGTCTCCGGTGGTTCAATCCCCTACCCTCCTGTTCCTCTTTCCTCCCTCCTCCCCTCCCCTAGCTTCCCCCCTCCTCCTCCCATCACAAATTATCCTGAAACTTCTCATTTAGCTTTTCTTTCTTTTTGACGTCCCTTTTTATGAAAGCTGGACAAGTGTCACACTGTCATTTGTCGTGCACGCTCTCGATTGCACGACGATCACTCGACCACCTCCTCCTCAAACGGACGCCGTTAGGAACTTAGCTCTACCCTCCACCGTTTGGGATCATACGTTGTCCGGGCCTAACGGCGTCCGTTTGGCCTCATGGTTGCCGCTCTCTTCTATGTGTTGACAGTGTTGGCCATCCGCCTCTCTCTCTCTCTCTCTCTCTCTCTCTCTCTCTCTCTCTCTCTCTCTCTCTCTCTCTCTCTCTCTCTGTAGGTCTCTGCATCCGCCACCCTCTTGCGCCGCGTGTCGTCTCCTTCTAATCAGTTAAATCAGCTGACTGCATCGCCTGCATGCTCCAATATGACACGTGGCATTCCCCACTCTCTAAGTTCGTATCCTAATATCCTTTTCCCGTTGCGCCACGTGTCATTCCCCATTCTAATTTCTTCTGTTCCGAAGCCGCCACCTGGCAATGTCCACTTCAACCTCTTCTCTTTCAATAATGTAAAGGTATAAATCTTCACAGAAACTGAAAGGCGAAAGCAACCGGGCTTACGTCTCCCATAATAGATCGCGCATGTGTGTGTGTGTGTGTGTGTGTGTGTGTGTGTGTGTGTGTGTGTGTGTGTGTGTGTGTGTGTG